TATGTATTCCAACATCTTCTCTAGGTTTTTGACTTGTCTTTTTATTCTCTTTATACTACCTTTTCATAGACAAAAAAAAATCATTATTTTAATGTAGTCAAATTTATTACCTTTATTTTTTTAAATATTTTTATTATTAGAGAGAGAAGAGGGCGAGAGAGAAACATTGATGTGAAAGTGAAATATTGATTGGCTGCCCCCTACGAAGGATCCCACAACCCAGGCATGTGCCCTGACTAGGAATCAAACCAGCAACTTTTGGCACCCAAACCACTGAGCCACACCAGCCAGGGCTATCATCTTTTTCTTTTTTGTTTGTACTTTTTGTTTCTTGCTTAAGAAATAATTTCCGGCAGTGCCCTCGGCAGTCCCAGATCTGTCTCTTGCTCCAACAGTGCTTGGACTGGGCAGAGCCGGGGACACCCCTTCTCCCAGCCTCAGGCCACTCTCCTGCGTCTCATCCAGTCACCGCTGAGAACCACCTCCGGGACCAGCCCGCACACCGTGTTTTTCTACCTGAACTCCTCATTGCCGAACAGCCATGAGCTACCAAATCCATCAGAATTATTCCACCCGGCGGGAGGCTGCGGTCTGGCCACCTGCCTCTGCGGCCCCAGCACCTACCTCTCTGGGCTGCTGTGTCGGCCAGGAAGACGTGGCTCTGGGGGGCGAGTTGGTGGAGAAGAAGTGGGAGGGCGCTGAGCTTCTCTTAAAAGTTGCAAACCCAGCGCGGTGGCCGCATCCTCTCCAGGACGCACTGGAGCCCCCTCCCCTCCCACCCGCCCCAGGAAGAGTGGGCAGAACTCAGGACGCCATGGCAGCCGCAGGCCCTGGTTCTACCCGCGGACCCTCAGCTCTGTGGCTCTGGAGAACCACTTCCGGGGGGCGGGAGGGAGACTCATCAAGAAGATGGGCCACACCTGGCTCACCCCCGCAGGTGGCGGCCCCCAGGCTGGGCTGGGTGGGTATCTCTTCCATAGGCTCCCCCTCAAGTGGACCAGGAGCCAGTGGAGCCCGGAGGCCTTTGAGGGCCCCTCTGCATCCCCCTGTGTCTGGCTTTTACCTGCGCCTCTCCCCAAAACTACCAGCCATTCTTTTAGCCACGCTGGTGCCCTCTCCCATGCATGGGGCCAAATGAAACAATAAAGCTTTTTTGCAGAAAAAAAGAAAAAAGAAAAGTTTTCTATTCTGTTGTGAAGATCATTTTCTATAATTTCTTCAAATAGTATTAAAGTTTTGGCTTTCACATGTAGGGCTTTAATATATCTGGAATTGATGTTTGGATATCGTGTGAAGTAGAGATCTGATTTCAGGTTGTTTTTTTTTTAATGTGGATAGCCCATTGCTTCAGAAAATTTTCCTGAAAAGACATTCTTTTCCCATTGACCTGCAATGCCACATCTTTCATATGTAGCAAGTTTCAATACATCTGCAGGTCAATTTCTGTTTCATTGGTCAGTATGCTTATCTTTGTGTCAGTACCACATGGTGTTATTTAGTATAGTTTTCAAATACATCTTGATATCTAGCCGGTCACATCTCCCAGCCCAGTTCTTTCTAAAGAATATCCCGACTACCTGTCCCTTTTAGAACCAATTCATCAGGTTCCATTGAAAAATTCTTTGGGGATATAATTGATATACATTGAATCAATTTGATAAGGATTCACACCATTTCAATATTTGTCTTCATTAATCTGAACATGGTCCATTCCTCCATTTATTTGGTTCTTCACTGTAGGTAAAGGGTTAAATGGTGCTCCCCTCCCCTACAAAGATATGTCCATGTTCTAACCCCTGGAACCTGTGAATGTGGTCTTATTGGAAAAAAGAATCTTTGGTGTAATTAAGGATCTCAAGATGCTATCACCCTGGATAATTCAGATGGACGTTATGTCTAATGGCAAATGCCGTGGAGACAGAAGAGAAGACAGAGAAGGCCGTGCAAAGGTGGAAACCAGAGCTATGCAGCCACAGGCCTAGGACACCTGGGAATACCATAATGATCTTGCATATGATTTATTATATTTTCTTTAAAATTCCTTATCTCTATTGCTGTTGTAAATGGCGTCTTTTAGAGTTTGTGTGTGTTAGTGGTTTATTGATGATATTTAGGAAGGCAGTTAATTTTTGGACACTCACCTTGTTTCTAGAAGCTTTTTCAAAGAATTTTTTAAAATTAACCATGTGTCAACATCTTATTGCGATCTTGCATGCATACAAGGAAAAAATGCTCTTTGTAAGTCAATTAGAATATTTCTTCCTGGTAGAATTTTTTTTTTTTTTTTTTAGAAAAAGAATGGATCAAATGTAGAAAAAACAGTCTGGTTGAAAGTCACTAGATTCTTGATTGGCAGTCAGCTGGTAGTCAGCTATGTGTATCACTATCTACAACAAGTCTTTATGCCATCCTTAGAAACTGGCATAAGGGTTTATTGGAAATGCTCATTTGCCCCAGAAGGAGGACGTGAATTACAGACTGGAAAAGGATGTGTCCCAGATCATTTTTTCTTTTATGCAAATATTCCAACTTCTGCTCCCCCTCATCTCCGTTTTCTCAACCTGTAGTCCCATTTTGAAGGTATATTTATACATTTAATCATGCTAGTCCTAATCACTGGTAAAAATGCCATTATTTTTGGATAGAAGCCAAAATCCTTTAAATGGGTGGCCCGTTCGGCCATGCAAGGCTTGCCCCTCTCTCGTTACTCTTACACCAGTGTTCTGGGCTGCAAGCACATTGGTTTTCTCTTAGCATTTGAGAACCAACATACTTTCACGTCTTATCAAGGCAAGTACTTTCTAAAAGTTATTTCCTCTGCCTGAAATCCTCTTTCTCCCCATCTCTCTCCTGGCCAGCTCCTCATCATTCTTCACAGTTAGGCTTAATTTCTCCCTGGCCATCCCAGCCCCCGATCCATCCTTCCCATCCCAATCAGGGGTTAGGCCAGCTGGCTGACCTCCCGCACCCCCCTGGCTGGCCCTGCCCCTAATCAGCACCCTCTTGGAGATTGGGCTGACAAGCCTCCTATGGCTCCAACCCCCACACAGCCTGACCCTGATTGGGGCCAGGGTGGATGGTAAACCCACCCATGTCCCCTCTCCCTCACCAGCCTCATCCCAATCAGCCCTCATCGGAGCAGGCTGGCCGGATCCCACCCATGCTCAAATTCGTGCACAAGGCCTCTAGTATATTTAATAAAGACTTAATAGCCACAAAAACTCAGACAACTCAATAGCAAAACAACAAAAATCTGATTTAAAAATAGGCAAAAGATTTTAATAGATGTTTTTCCAAAGAACACAAATACATGGCCAACTGGTACATGAAAAGGTATTCTACATTATTAATCATCAAAGAAATGCAAATCAAAACCACAATGGTATAACCCATACCAAAAATGTTATATAGCAATAAAAATAATTACTATTAAAGACTGACATAGAAAGATTTTCAACATAATTTTAAACAAGAGGGAAATAATATGTAACACTATTTTTGCAAAAATTAAACAAAAAGCAATATTATTCATATTTCCAAATTGAAAATATATTGTAAAAATGCACAGAATAAAAAAGGTTACTCATCATTTTAACAATGTGGTTACATTTGGAAAGACACTGGATTTGGTAGGGAGCATGGTCAAAGATTTTAATATTCTTAGTATTTTAATTCAGTTTAAGAAGAACGTATTAACCCAAAACTATATATTAATTTAGAAATAAACATTTTAAAACTCTTAATTGTTGAAAGCTTTACATATGCCTCCTTTTTCACCCTAGAAATAAACATTTTCAAAAATCAAATTGCTTTCTGAATCTACCTAGTTCTGCTGTGTACACATGTTTCTAATAATCAAGACCAAGTGTTTTATACAATGAACAGATAGTGTGCCCTCATGGCTATTCCCATGTGAACTAGTTAATGTGTACTATAGTGAATATAAAAATCTTTAGCCAAATTTACAGTTAATCAATTTAACTGTTGATTGAGTTAGCCTTTTTATGTCAATTTCATGACTAAGGCATTACAATTTCATATAGATCAGAGTGCTCAAACAAAAAATTACCTGTTTTCACTTGGGCATTTTCACTGTTTAAACTGTTTGGAACCTGGTGGATCAGAGACTTGCCTTGTTGGTTTCAGTTATAACGGACTTCATTGCATCACAAAGTTTACTTGTTGCTCTCCTTCAACCAACTTCGGATCTAAGAAATTCCCACAATACCTCAAGTAGGTAAATCGTGAAAAAGTAAATGTTACATTTTAGCCAATCTGAAAATGTCTTTCTCTTCATTTTAATAAGTACTAATTATATTAACTATATATAATACTTTGTCTTATAAATATGATCATTTGCAATGAAAGTATTAGTTTATAAAAAGAATGAATAAATACTTCTTGGCTAATAGTTAAGAGGATTTTTTTAAACACAATATCAATCTAGAAATATCCTCTATCTCACTTTATTTTAAAATATATATATTTTATTAATTTTTTACAGAGAGGAAGGGAGAGGGATAGAGAGTTAGAAACATTGATGAGAGAGAAACATGGATTAGCCACCTCCTGCACACCTCCTACTGGAGATGTGCCTGCAACCAAGGTACGTGCCCCTGACAGAAATTTAACCTGGGACTTTTCAGTCTGCAGGCAGGCGCTCTATCCACTGAGCCAAACCGGTTAGGGCTTGCTTTATTTTTTGCTATTACTATTCAGGGAAACAAGGGAGGGGTGGTATTTGATAATGGGAAGACATCTCAATTTAAAATGTTTGTTGGAATGAGAAGTTTTATGGTTAATTTTTTATAAAAATGGGTACCTTATTTTTCCTCCATCATAGAATAAATTCATTTATACTTTATTGGTGAATAAATAAAACTTAGCCAGTCACTTCCCTTTTTTATAACATAAATGTGTAACTGATTACTTCCCCAGGGGAAATTTAACAGTGGGATGTATTTCTCCTTCCCTCTTCTTTTTTGTCTAGAAACCTAAGAATGGGGATTGTCATCAGACATGTTTTTGTCTTATTGTGCCTCTTAAGTGGTAAGTCATTAAAAAAAACATAAATCAAAAAGAGCGAACTTTTTCTAAGAAATTACAGAAGCATAATGTAAGTGGTGTGTGGTCTAATTAAGGTGCTTACAACAAGGCCTGAATAAGCTATTATATAACATAATATGAGCTAACAAATAGAGTTATAAAATAGAATAGCATATTTCAGAATTAACCATGTAAAGAAACTATTTATTTTACATATAATCTGAAGCTTGAAATTTAATTGTCAAATAAAAATGTATCATGTGTTAAAAACCAACAATACATTTTAAGACAGAAAAAAGACTAAAAGGAAGCAAATGGGATCTGAGAACATGTGTGTAAGTATTTGGGCGATTGAAAATGTACAGTCAGCACAAAGGCCTAAAAGTGAAGGCATCTTCTTCAGTCATAACAAAGAATGTGGGAAACAAGGTTTGAGCAAGATCATGGAAATTGTGTGTGGAACTGAGAGAGGAGGGACCCTCTAGGAGGGAGAGAAAGAAGTCAGTGACATCAGAAGGCTGGTGGCTCCAGGGACCAGGTGCGGTTACTAAGAACAAGGGTTTGGAATTCCAAAGACCCTTGGAAGCCAGTTGAGCAAACGACTTAAAATCAGTTTTCTTTAATGTGAAATGTGGGCACTACAACACCTGCTGGACAGGTTTATTATAGGAAATAATTGGACTTATACAGGTAAATGGCTCATCAATGGGCATAAGTTTAGATTCTAAAAGATAATTGTGGATTGATAGTTGATTATGGTCTGAAAGTCTGTCGTGCTTAATGGGAAAAGCCAATGTGAAATGCCCAGGGTATCTTCAGGTGAGGTTGAGACTGGGAAGAATAGTCAGGAGAGGTTAATTAGCCTCATCAGCCAAACTATTTTCTATTAAAAGTGATCTCCTCTAATCCCAACGTGCCAGAGGGAGATATAAACTACATTGCACACAATGTCTAGTAAACTCTTCTTTGAGTTATCAACGAGTAGGAGTGACATGGCATATATTATAAAGGGACTCCGAACAGGAAGATAAATTGTGCTGAATTCCAGAAGAATCTTTCATAATCAGAGCTAGTTTTAGTAGTGATGAGCTCTCCATCACTTGGCAGGGCTCCCTGAGGTGTTATCAAAATGGAGATTCCTGAATTAGGTAGAACCAGTGGTTCTCAAAAACTGGTCTCGATAGCTATATCTTGGTCACATAACTTCTGCTGTTTCTGCATGTCTAAAATACAGATTCCTGGGCTCCTTCTGGGAATCTACTTATTCTAACTGCTTAAGTAAATCGAATTTAAGATCAATTTTGGAAACAGATCCTCTAGATGATATCTTCTATTCTTATGTATTTTGACCACGTTTTAAGAATTTCTGGGCTATTTCCACATAACCAAAATGAATGAAATTTTTGATCCACTGAATATGAGTATTGAAGATAACCAATCTATAAACATGAATCAAGCAATAAATATTTATAGAGTATAATGTGTTGCTTTAGAAATTGAAAAGAAGACCCAATAGTGGCTACATGGCTGAAATGAATTTTTCTGGCTACTGTACATAACTTTGAATTGATTTAATTAGGCACTGAGGCACTAAACACATTTTAACCAAGTGAGTTATTTAGACCACCTGGCCTAATTTCTAATCAGTATCAGTTCAGAGTACTTCCAATTCATGAAACATAGCATTTGTGAAATCAAATTTTTAAAATGTTGCTTGCTTTTTAAAGTTGAAAATCACTGCTTTATTTTTGGATCTCTCTTTTCTTCCCCTGTTTCCCCTCTCTCTGGTCTTCATCTTATATTTTCTGTCCAGCCCTTGGCCATGTTGGAGGTGTGCTCTGTAGGCTATGCAACCTTTCAATCCCCTTCCATGGATGTCTTTTAGACCTTGGAACCTGCAGGACCAAACCTAAACAGTTCTGTTTTAAAGAGGTCCATTTTAAAGGTAAGTCTTAACACTTTAACAAAAAGAAAATGAAAACATTTAAAATATGAATATTCTTTGAGCACTTACCTGGATTACATTATACCCACGAAACAAAACCACAATATGAGCTGGATCTGGTCACTATCCCCATTTTTTTAAACACGAGAAAACCTAAGAAATAGAAAGGTTAAAGCATGTGCATGATGCGAGTCCTCGCAGCAGCGCCGCATGGTGACTGAGCGCTCGCCCTGCGTGTCTGCAGGCAGCTCCCTTCTTTCTCGGGCGCCCAGAAATTCACCAGGTCTGTTCTGAAAGTGCCCGCCAGAGAGATCTTCTGCTCTCGTGGAAACCCCGCTGCTGAGGTGGATCTCGACGCCTCGCCAGGTCTCTGCAGAGCTGCTGTGCCCAGTGGTGCCCCGCTGGTACCTACGCAGCTGGAGCTCCGGGACAATGACAAGACGCGCTACCTGGGGAAGGGAGGCTGCTGAGCACATCCATCCAGACACGGCTCCTGCTCTGGAGCAGGAGAAGGTCGACAAGCTGATGATAGAGACGGACGGGACGGAATATGAGTCTGGATTCGGTGCCAATGCCATCCTGGGAGTGTCCCTGGCCCTCCGAAGACACCTCCATTGCCGACCTGGTGGCGGGGCTCTGCACTGGGCAGATCAAGGCTGTGCTCCTGGCCCATCTGAGCGCTTGGTCAAGTGCAACCAGGTTCTCAGAATCCAGGTGGAGCTGGGCAGCAAGGCCAGGTTTGCCGGCAGGGACTTGAGAAACCCCCTGGCCAAGCAAGCTCTGGGCAGGCTGGCCAAGCCCGCGGTCACTAGTCGGCTGGTTAGACCTCTGCTGCTGCCATCTGCACCGGCAGCCCAAGGCCCCCAGCGATCCCTGCAGGGGCTTCTGCCTCTGCCCTCCCTGTGGTGGTCTCACTGCTTCCCAGAACTGCCACAAAGCCAAGCCTGACATCGGAACCCTGGTGGAAACCCTAGCCCTGTCTGTAGTCATGTGACTGGTCCAAATCATTGTTCTTCTCACCTTGCTTCTCTGGAGCCAAGTGCATCTGTCTTGTAATCTCTGAGGTGTCCACAGGCAAGATCCCAGTGGTTTTGTGTGCAAAATAAAGTCTTCTGTGACCTTAAGAGGGGGGGAAAATTGCATGTTGCTACACAGCTAATGAATGTCAGAGCCAACATTCAACTGCAAGTACTCTGACTTCGAAGCACACATTCCTAATGAATCTATGTACTGCCTCATTCACATCCATCACAAATAATTAATACATAATTTGCTGGCCCTTCTAAGCACAGAGCTCTATACAGCTGCACAGATTGCATGCCCAGGAAACCAGCCTTGTCTGCATAAATTCTAGGTCTAAGTGTAGAAACCCAAATGAAGGAAACATTAGAAGAAAATACAGGAGAACGCATTTCAAGCTTGAAAGAGAAGAAGCCTCCTTAACATCCAAAAGGCAAAGGTAAACAAGACGGAAGGTAAATTTGAATATATCAATATTTTAAAATGTTTAAATGAATGACAACCGCAAAATGTAAAGGATAAGTAATAAATTGGATGAAACTACTTGAGATATAAATAACAGAAAAAAATATTACTATCTATCCAGATTCAAGATTTTCCTAAAAAATAATTTTTTTAAAAGGCCAGCAATTTGGGGGGGGGGGGGAGGGGGAGGAAGGACCTTGTTAAAGGAAATGTAAAGGAGAAAATAGAAATGACCTGACCTGAAAGCATAAAAATATGCACAACTCATCAGTGAATATCAAAAGAGAGTCAAGTTACAGAAATAATATAGTTTAACCCATCATATTGGTAAAAATTGTAAAGGTTTTATAATATCAAGTTGTAGTGACAATATGTGGAAATGGGAACTCTCATACATTGCCAATGACAGTTTAAATTGGTTTAGCATTTTAGACAACCTCATTAAAATTTTAAATGAGCAATGTCGTGTAGAAAGCAATGCTATTTCTTGGTATCTATTATATTATAGAGAAATGAAGTTACATGGAACACAAAAAGGCGTGTATTAAGATTATTAAATATAGTTTTATTGATATTAGAGAGGATGGGAGAGGCAGAGAGATAAGGAAACATCAATGATGAGAGTGAATCATTGATCAGCTGCTTCCTGCATGCCCCACAAGGGGGTTGAGCCCATGGCATATGCCCTGTCCGAAAATTGAACCTTCACTTTCTGGTTCATAGGTTGAAGCTCAACCACTGAGCCACTTTGGCTGGACTCATTGCAACTTCATATTTAAAAGTAAAGTAATGGAAATAACCTAACTGCTTGTCTATGGTTGTTATTATGATACATTCACACCATGAAATTCTAGGCAACACTTAGAATGAACTAGATCCCTTTGTTAACAGGAAAACCTCTGAAACATTTGTTGAGTAGAGAAAAAAAAAGGTACAAAACAGTTACGTATAGTGTATCACTTATGAACAGAACTCTCCACAAAGGAAAACTCTAAATTTCCCTATGGGCGTGGAAGAGGAGAATAACAATCAGAGGAGATCAAAGTGAGTTGGAAAAAAAGGAATGGAATTTGGGGTCATATCTGCTGGGGTTATTGGTTAAGAAGATTTCTTGATCTTTGTTCAGCCTGTTCAGTCTGGGTCCCTTCTCTGTGCCTGAAGTTCCCTGTGACTTGCACCTTTTCCAGTCAGGGCCCCTTCCTTTTGAAGGAGAAATGTGCCAAGGCTCCCTGGAGTCCCCCCTCCCTTCCTTAATGAGCTTGACATCAAAACAAGTTGTGTGTTTTTTTAATCTTTATTGTTGAAAGTATTATATATGTCCCCCTTTCCCTCCCTTTGACCTCTCCCAACCCATCCCTGTCCCCCACCCCAGGCCTTCCCCACCCTGATGTCTGTGTCCATGGGCTATGCACGTTTGCATATGAGTTTATTGGTTGATTTCCTCCCCCAACCCCCTCCCCTGCCTTCCCTCCGAGTTTTGACAGTCTGTTCAAGAAAACAAGCGTTAAAGGGCTTCGCACAGATGAACGAGCCTGGAGGCTCATGGAGCACAACACTGACAACAGTTATTGGCGGGCCAAGGCCTATGCCTGCGACGCTGTGACAAGCGGTTTCCTCGCCCAGAGATGTGGTCGTATCACAAGGATGTGAGACAAATGGAGCTGGCCTTCACCCTCTTGACAGTTTCATCAGCAGGTTTTCTCATCTTTGATACTGTTGACAACTGGCAGGATATCTGTTGGTTGTGCAGGCCATCTCAAAATGCCCCCCACCCCCATCAAGAGAGTACTGTTTGCTCAAATTTCCAACCATCTCACGTTTTGCTGCCTTTGGGGAATTACTCGTCTGTGTTCTCCCAGCCGAAGCTGGGACGCTAAGAACTGCTGTCACTGACTTTGCATTTTTGTACATTTTTCTCAATTTCTACAGTGGACGTGCATTACTGCTACAATCAGGGGGAAAATTAAGTGAAGTCAAGGATGCACCTCACTTTTGAGAAACACACATCTAAATGGTCCTTCTGAGGACTCAGCCCTTTGAATAATTCATGGCCTGGGTTAAACTGGGGGACATTAGGAAGCTTCCAAACCGCTAACCATTCAACAATTTTACACAGTCAATGGCAATCGCATGGCTTTTACCTTGAGTTTGAAAGCTTTTTTGTTTTGCAATTTCAGGGCTGTTGTACGTACTCAGAATACTGTAGGTGGGAGTTCTTAAAGGCAAGATGATTGTATCAAGATAAACATAGACTTTTGCTTAGTGTTTGTTGTTGCTGTTTATTTTATTATTTTATTTTTTAAAAATATATATTTCTTTATTGGTTTCAGAGAGGAAGGGAGAGGGAGAGAGAGAAATAGAAACATCAATGATGACAGAGAATCATTGATTGGCTGCCTCCCGCATGCTCCCCCCCCCCCCCCCTGCCACTGGGGATCAAGCCCACAACCCCATCAAACCTGGGGCCCTTCAGCCCACAGGCCAATGCTCTATCCACCGAGCCACATCGGCTAGAGCTATTTTATTTTTTTAAATATATATTTTATTGAGTTTAGAGAGAAAAGGAGAGAGAGAGAGAGAGAGAGAGAGAGAGAGAGAGAGAGAGAGAGAGAACGAGCGCAAGAGAAACATTAATGATGAGAAAGAATAAACTGCCTCCTGCACGCCCATTACTGGGGATCGAGCCCACAACCTGAGTATGTGCCCTGGCCCGGAATCGAACTGTGACCCTTTCAATGCTCCATCCGCTGAGCCAAACCAGCGAGGGCACTGTTTATTTTTTAACCTGTTATCTGAGGCCAGGTAGGTTGCACCTCGCTGAAGACTGTCTCTGCCTCTCTACCTCTTGTTGCCCTCAGGTGGAATTCCCTGGTTTTCTATTAAAGGCTGCACAGAAGCCAACACTGATTGCTTCAGGAAAAGGATGATCCATCATCATATGTTCCAGATTTCTCACTGCTGCTTTCGTCCCTTATGCAATTTCTGACCCAGAAGTCCTTATCCAGATTGCTTGACTGATCAGTCAGTCTCAACGCCTCACCTGGTCAGCACAGGATGGCAGCCACCATCCATCCACCCTTTGTGGAAACCTCAGATCTCTGCAGGTTGTATAGAGTTATGGTCTGAAACCTATTTGGGCTCTCAAGGTGCCTAACCTCTCCCCCACCAACTCCAACTCATCTCAGAAACATCCTTTCAATACCATCTCTCGCCTCTCCTCTTTCTGCTTAACTCCCCTTCCGATGATTTCATGGCTACAAATAAGTAAAAATGGGAGTGATTTCCCAGAGTCGAATTATGTACCTTGTCTCCAGTTCACTAGTTTTCCTAAATATTCCCATAGTCCATGATATAGTCACGAGTGCACTGTATCGCAAGACACCCAATGATCTGGAAGTGTTCATTTGATTTCCAAAGGGAACTGCTTTGCTCTTTTGGGGTAATTTACAGTATGGAAGAACTGATTTAACAAATACCATGGAAAAAGTAAGCCAGATATCAGCAAACCAGACCTCACAGAACTACGACCCAAAATGGCAAAGGGCTCAACAAGGTGCAAATGTTGGCACTTATTTCTCCCATTTGCATCAGGATTTGCCCATATTCTGCATTTCATATGCCTTAACCAGGCCGAAGTATATTGGCTTGTCTAATTTTGGCAGATCAAGCAATTCATCCTGAGCAGGGCAACAGGTTCCCAACCACAGGGAATTTAAAAAAACAAAAACAAAAAACACTTAACTGCACTTCACATTTTTTAACATGCCACATAATCAATTATTCTCATTCAATGCCCTACTTATAATAACTTCAAGATTATTATATTTTAACATTTAAACTTGGTTTTCTCTGTATTTTTAGAAGCTTGAGAAATTCATGTCATAAACAATAAATGTCAACCTTTTTATTTATTATTCTAGGATTCTCACACACAGTGGGCCCTCAACAAATATTTTTCTATAAATTTCAAAGAAAAACAAGCATTAAAAAAAAAAGTCCAAGGAAACTAGACATTTTCCTCCACACTTATTTCAAGTATGTTTCTTTTTTATTGTTAATCCTCAGCTGAGGATCTTTTTCCATTGATTTTTAGAGAGAGTGTAAGGGAGAGGGAGAGATGGAGAGAAACATTGACATGAAAGAGATGTATCTATTGGTTGCTCCTGTACACACCCCAACCAGGAATAGAGCCTGCAACCGAAGTATATGCCCTTGGCCGGAATCAAACTTGGGACCCTTCGGTTCACAGGCCAATGCTCTACCCATTGAGCCAAACAAGCTAGAGCTCAACTATATTTCCTAAATCATTTTTCTGAACACACACACATACACACATACAATTTCCTCATCCTGAAATTTAAATCCACTTGCCATTATTTGGTCATTTTCTGCATCAGCCACATTGGTAAACAGTGGTTATAGCAAATCAGGGAACTTCATGGAGGATTTACTTTTCTTTTTCTTGTTTTTAAAAATATATCTTATTTATCCAGTACTAAAGGGGAGGGGGGGAGGAATATAACAAGATCATATTATCAGTGACTGACTCCATAAAGCTTCCCAGATTTAACTTGTGATCCTGGGGATGTAACAAGAGAATCAGGAAGTGGGTGTTAATTTTTTTGTCTCAGTAATTGCTGAGCCTGGCAAGTCCCTTTGGTCTCTCTTCACCTCTTTCTCCTCACATATAAGATTAAAAGAATTGGATCGTATGATTTCACAGATCCCTTCAAATCCTAATGTTTTTATGACTTGACACTAACACTTCTTTGCTGTTTTTTTCTTAGACTTAAAAACAAGACTTGGTGCTGAACACATCCCATAAAATAGGCCCTGCTTGTTATGTTTAATGCTTACCTCCCTAGCTCTGTGACATGTAGGAAAATGAAAGAAGTGCAAGCCATGCCAGCCCGAACCAGCACTGAGGCAGTTTACGTGCATGCCAGTGTCACACGCAAGTCACCATGGGAACGAAATATACCTTTCGCATCCTTGATGTGGTAGGCTGAATGACGGTCCCCCAAAGATGTTCATGTTTGAATCCCCATACACTCGTTACTTTCCAAGGGATTTTGCAGGTGTGCTTAAATGGAGGATCTTGAGATGAGATTCTCCTGAAGTACCCCAGTGGGCCCAATGTAAGCGTCAGAGTCGGAAGCAGGAGGGTCAAAAGGAGACTAAAGATGCTAAGTGATTGGCTTTGAAGGTGGGGGAGCCTCTAGAAGCTGGGAGAGTCAAGGAAACAGGGTCTCCTCTAGGCTTCAAGGAAAAATCCAGTCCTAGACATGATAGATTGGTGTGTGTGTGTGTGTGTGTGTGTGTGTGTGTGTGTGTGTGTGTGTAGATATAAATGACATATAACATTAGTTTCACATGTCGTGATTATTTGATATTTGCATACATTATGAGATGATTAACACAAAAAGTCTAGTCAACATCCATCACTATATATAGTTACAAAAACAAAACAAAACAAAACAAAAAAAAAACACCCTGCTGATGAAACCGATGTGGCTCAGAGGATAGAGCATCGGCCTGTAGACTGAAAGGTCCCAGGTTCAATTCCGGTTAAGGGCAGGTACCTTGGTTGCGGGCACGTCCTGGTGTGGGTTGTGCAGGAGGCAGCTGGTGGATGTTTCTCTCTCATCGATGTTTCTAGCTCTCTATCCCTCTCCCTTCCTCTCTGTAAAAAAAATCAATAAAATATATATTTAAAAAAACACACCCTGCTTTCTTTAGCATGGCGATTCGCTATCGCAGCTATGGGAAACAACACACCTGATCATGCAAGGGAGGGCATGGTGAGGTGTTTCCTCTCCCCTCCAGGCTGATACATCCAACACTTAGTTTACATGGGATCTGCTTTCAAGAGAGGCACTTCAGTGTCTCGGTGTCATAGTGTCTCCCTTTCATTGTACATTTTCTCAGTCGTAGTTTCCCTGGGAAACACACACAGATGTCTACAGACATGCATTCACATCTTATTAACACCGCCTACTCAAGGCCCTATCCATTCAAGATTTCTTTGGCTAACAAGCGTATTCTTTTTCTATCCCTCACACACCTGAAGACAAAGCGATACCTCACTGATGTCTGTAAGACATCAGACTGAAGAGCTAGTGGATCTGGGGACCAGCCTGGAGCTTCTGAATACCAGATCGACTTACTAGTTGACTACCCTTTTCCCCCCAGCAACTGAAACAGAAACCTCACTGGTTCATGCCCCTTAATTCATTTGAAATCCAAGTCTTTAGCCTGGCCAGCGTGGCTTCATGGTTGAGCATGGACCTATGAGCTGGGAGATCATGGTTTGATTCCCAGTCAGGGCATATACCCCAGTTGTGGGCTTGATCCCCAGTGTGGGGCATGCAGGAGGCAGCTAATCATTGATTCCCTCTCATCATTGATGTTTCTATCTCTTTCCCTCTCCCTTCCTCTCTGAAATCAATACAAATGTGTGTGTGTGTGTTTTTTAAGACAAGTCTTTACAATAAACAAATACAGGCATTTGGATGATGTGGCAGGGCAGAGACTAGCATGATTCTATTAGTAGTTTCGCCTGCTAGCACCCAGTGACAAGATTTTCTGAAGTTGCAGAGAGCACACTTTTTATAATTGATATGGCCCTTGCTGCTTTCCCCACTCTACTGATGAGGAGCCCCTGTAGCTGATAGGTGGTAGACAGAGAACTGGTGGTGACACACCAATGTCTTAGGAGAACCATGTGGGTGGGCAAGAAGCTGTGGGATGATGTGACCCTGACTCCTTAACACATACTCCACATCTCTGAGAAGCGAGACAGGAGGTCCTTGAAAGAAGCAAGGAGCCACATAGAAGGAAATGGGATGGTTAATGACTGAGCCCAGAGCTTCATAAGCAACGTCGAGTCTGGCCAAGAACTTTGGGGGGGAAAATAAATATTCAGTTAGATAATGAGGGAAAAAGTCTAAAGCCCTGAATATAGTGGACTACATAAACAGGGAGCCACCTTAGGTTCTGTATTTTTTGCACTGAAGAATTTCATGTGCATATCTTTATGGCTAGCCCTGCAGGCTGGTGAACGATGTTGGAGACACGGTAAAATGCTGCATCTTTGGGGAGATCTGGGGCCATCTCAGCACTGTGTGTCCAGAGAGCTCACATTTTCTCTCCCAGTAGCTGACCCCTGTGGCTGCAGTTCCTACAAGTGAAGGCATTAGAGGTGGCTCTATATGCTGGTGGACACTTTCCTCCTATCTTCAATATTCCTTTGATCTCTGTAGATCACCACTGGTAAGTAACACCACACCCTCCTTTGGCTGAACCTCAAATCATAACACTCTAATATATCTTTCCCATAAATAACGAGGGTGAGTTTTTCTTCTGCCTTCTCATCCCCCCCACATGCTGAATAAAGTTCATAGAGCTGCCACCAGAAATTATTGCGTCGAGTGGAACTTCCAGGCAGAGCAGTAACTAGCAATTTTGGTGCCAGGGCGATCGTACAACATGCCCTCAGATTAACTTTGTCATTCATGTCTTGGCTCACATATGGGTGTTATTGATAATACTTACCATCTGGCGGCTTCTGAATTTAACTAATTATTCTTGCCAATTAGGCATTAAGCTCAGTGATACTGTGTGCGTGTGCTGTTGAATCAACTGCACAGTTACTGAAAAAGAACTGGCACACTAAGTCTCAGAGACCTGGGGCCAGAGTGTCATGGCCAGGCCAAGATGCAGCTCTGATTCTGGAGAGGACCATGAGAGAAAGAGATAGCCAATGACAGCGGGCATTGGAAGCACGTTGGACCCATTAATTCAAATATTTATTGAGCAATTCTCATACGTCAGGTGTCATGGAGAAGACGAGGATACAGCAGTGAATAATTTATGGTTCAAGGGAAGCCTAAAGAGCCATCATTTTATTATTACCTCTATCAGTTCTGGGGCTGCTAGGCTCCCTTAGGCAATTCTCGCTTGGGATCTTCTCATGGAATCAGAGTC